GTTTATCTTAACAAAAAATCTTATTTTTATATTAAAAAATTAATTATGATACTATTTATTTTGTTATTATTTTTAAAATTTAAAAATTTTAAGTTATTTTCTTTAGTTTTCATTTTTTATATGATATTTTTTCAAAATTTCCAAAAAATAATTGGAAATTAATAAAGTTAAAAAATTATTTATTGTGGCTGAATTCTTTTCCCGAGGTTTTAGCGGGGTTTTTCAGAGGCTAGGGGAAAGTTTGGATGCACTCGGTGTCATAGTTAGTTTCTCGAGATGCGTGCCCTTTGATTAAAGGATGGGCGGCGCTTGATCAGAGCCGCTGACGTGACCGCGTGGGGTTTTGTTTGTTGATTCGGTCTGGGTTGTTAGGTGCCCTTTGACAGAGTGTGGGTGGTCATCCCAACATTAAAATTAGTTATTATTCTGGGGGACAGATGGTCAGCCCTCCTGTTTGGATGTCATTCTCCATGTTAATATTTTATGATTTTTTTATAAAGTTAATAAGATAAAAAATAATAATAATATAAAATGTTAACATGATTTAACAACGACCACACAAATAGAAAGGGATAAAAAGAGCATCTAAACAAGAGGGTAGACAATTTGCCTCTGTTATTCTGTGGGGGTGTGGGCCCGGACTTGATACCAGTTTCGGGCAACTTGGGAAACAAATTTTCAGGATGCAGAATTGGAGTTCTGTATATTAAGTGTCATATTACTAGTTGGAAATATTTTTACACAAATATTTTATTATTATTATTATGACACGTAGTGAAAAATAGTAATGAATTACATTCAAATTTCGAGTAGTGTGTAATCGTGCACATATTGGCCAAAACTAGAAGGACTAGTTGATGCGTTAATAGTGCACATGTAGTTTTTTTTATAAAAAACTAATGAAAAGAATTAGAAAATTTGAGTTTTAACAATAAAGATAACATAAATGGTAAAGTAAATAGTATCATGATTGATTTTTTAGTGTAAAAATATAGTTTTTCATTAAAATAAATAGTACTGGATGCTTTTCGTTAAAATTCATTTTTTTATATTCGTGCAAGTTTCGAGTAATGTAGGGCACATTGGCAATGTGTGAATACCAACTGGCGGGACACCCGAATCCACTATTCAAGATTCCGATATTCTGAATGCTTATAGTGGTGCATTGTGTGTAGCTTTACTGCATTTTTGTTTGTTATTGTGTCCTGCCTATTTGGTTGTGCGTGGTGAGTAGCGCTAGGTTTTGCGTTTTATAAAAGCACTTATGAACGGCAGGTAGAAGCATTGGCTTATAAGGAATAAAGTGCCCATATCACAATTTTTATATTTTAGAAATTGTGTTCAAGATGCGCATTCCACAATCATAGAAGCTAATTCAATTCTTTGTGGATTTTTTTTTTTTGTCAGTTGTGAAAGGTCTGTATTGGAAATCAATTAAAAATGAAGTAAAAATTCTTTGTTTAGTTTATTATGTACCGCCTGATTCACGATACTAACAATTAAATCGGTATATAGAGAAGATTATACATGATTTACGGTATTAACAGTAAAAAAAAAAAAAACACTCTTGTTCTGTTATGTTTCAAAGCTTTGCGTACAATACATGAGTATCACTGATCTATTGCAAATGTGATGTTTGTAGACTCGAATTTGATGGAAACTCTGCATCATTTGTGTTTGATAGTTATATTGGCATCGATAGATTCTAGTTCGTTGCTTAATTATACGCTAGCTGACTTCAGAACAACATAAACCAACTGGTTTTTGGATCAGTTGGTCTGTCTTAGATTTCGCCTTTGTTAAATAACCTCATTGTATTTCTCCCTTTGTAGTATGTGAATGTTTACGTGAATAATTGGTTGTTTAACTTGTGCAACTGTTACTAATTATGATTTATTGCTAGTGAGTTCATTTGATTATCGAATGCATTTTTTTTTTACAATTCGATTGCATACTTTTACTGCAGGTTCACAAGAAGCGCAGCTCAATTCAGTAAACGAGGAGATATGCTCTAATCATGACGAGTGTGAGGAGCGTCGTACCCAGATCAAATTGACTAAAGGTTTCTCAGCAAAGGAGTTGGTCAGAGGGCGTATGGTGAGTTATTTCTTCAGTCTAATATTACTGTATAAGAGAGAAGCGAAAGAGTTGGTCATGCTGTATATTCTGGTAAGAAAATCAGGTAGCTATTACTGACCAGCAGATAACCGAAACTGGCAGGTGAATGTCGTGAAAGGGTTAAAGCTATACGAGGACATATTCACTGACACCGAACTCTGCAAATTGACTGACTTCGTAAATGATCTCCACACGGCTGGACTTAATGGAGAGCTCTCAGGTAAAGGAATCCCTTGTTTGTGAAACGCATCCAGGGTTCTATCTTGTTAAATGTGGTCTTGTAGATATCCATTTGTTCTTAAAAAAATTCGCTTCTGAAGTTTGAATGCGAAATCATTTCCATGTAGCTTTATCGAGGCTAACTCGATTTTTAACATAGGAAAGGCTACTCTAAGTTATCAGTATTCATTCAAGAATCTAACTCTTATCTTCTTGACTGAATACAGGCGAGACCTTCATTTTGTTCAACAAGCAGGTTAAGGGAAACAGGAGAGAGCTGATTCAGTTTGGCGTTCCAATTTTCGGGCAGATCAAGGAGGACACTACAAGTAATAACCGAAACTAGTAATGCATACTTCAACTATTTTATAAATGTCATTCAGTTTGTCAAATTCCGGACAGGGCCTTATACTAAATACCGAAGCTAACTTTAATTTGTTTTTATAGACAATATAGGGCCGATTCCAGCTCTTCTCGAAGATGTGATTGATCACTTTGTACTATGGCAGTTAATTCCGGAGTATAAACGACCGAATGGTTGCATCATCAACTTCTTTGATGAGGTATTCTATGTTTTGCTTGCTGCATTGTCTTGTTACCGCCTCTGCTATTGTTTACTAGGAACATAGCTGCAAAGAGGGCGCTTCACGGCATTGGTTTGTGTTATGAGTCTTTGTTCATGCAGTTTCTTTTTAATTTAAGAGAGAACAGTTCTAATGGCAATCATTCTTTTGCAGGGAGAATATTCACAGCCATTCCTGAAACCACCCCATTTGGACCAGCCCATCGCCACTCTTCTCCTCTCTGAATCAGCAATGGCTTTCGGGCGCACCCTTCTAAGCGATAATGATGGGAACTACAAGGGGCCGCTGATGCTATCGCTGAAACAAGGGTATGTACTCTTAGATCTTTCAGTTTCACGTATCTTTTCACGGTGATTGAAAAGCGAAAACGTTGAATGTTTTAACTTCTGCAGATCTCTTTTAGTCATGAGGGGAAACAGTGCTGACATGTCACGACACGTGATGTGTCCATCTCCAAACAGAAGGGTGAGCATTACATTCTTCAGAGTCCGAGTAGACTCCAACCAGTTCCAGTCGCCCGAAACTCCAACCCACAATGGTGCCATGACTCTATGGCAACCCGGGATGGTGAGCCCATACGCGCTGCCAGATGGAGCAGTTCTCAATGGTTATGAGGCAACGGATGTGATGCCCAAATGGGGTGTCCTTCGTGCTCCAGTAGTCATGATAACCCCCGTTCGTCCCATGGTAATGAGCCCTCGAAAAGTTCCTCAAAGTGGTACCGGGGTTTTCTTGCCCTGGACCAGGGGGTCAAGAAAACCAGCAAAGCATCTTCCACCTCGCGCCCAAAAGGGACGGCTTATGGCACTCCCTTCCCCAGCAGAAACACATGTGGCAGAGTCCACTTCTGAGCCCAGCATCAGTGTCTAACGGAAGAACGAAGGTCCGAAGTTAGCCAGAGGCAGCCCTGGGTCCAAAAACCATATGAATCAGCAGAGTTTGCGTTCACGTTCGCACTTGTGTTCTGCAGGAGTATTTTCTTGTTGTACAAACAGAGCCTAGGTGCTGTAAGATTAGGGTTGAAGGGGTGATTACAGTACTTTTTCTTGGATGGTGTATGGCCTTCAGATTTGGTAGAGTATCAAAATTGTGGGGTGTGAATTTTAGCTCAAGTAAAAAAGGAGCTGAATTTTGTATTATGTTGAAAGTTTTTTTAAACTATTTTATTCACATAGTCCTTCCTTCCGATTTATGGCCGCAAATTTTTTTATACAAGCGATATTTAGGTGAAGGGGATCCAAACACAAGACTTCCAATGCAAGGACAAATGCGCTAAACCACGCTTCTTGCGGATTTAGGGCCATTACATTGAAACCAAGAGTGGAAAAAGAAACATAACACAACAAAAAAACTGACTGAAAACAATTATTGCAAATCCGTCCTTTTTAAATTATAAGAAAAACTAATGAAAAGGGTTTGAAAACTTTTGAGTTTTAATCAAAAGGACAAAAAAGTGTTGTAAGTAAATAATACCATGAATGACTTTTTAGAGTAAAAATATCATTTTCGTTAAAAGTGAACAGTATTGTTTAGTTAAAACTCTCATTATTATATTGGAGAGTTTTGAACGCTGAACGTAACCTATTTCTGTCAAATCTGCATGCTTTCCACATTACACTTAGCAATTTCAATGCACAGTTATTACTTACTGCACCAACGAGTCAATAGAAGAAGGGGTTAGGTAGGCATACAAGCATATGCAACAACTTTCTCTTGGTTGAGAAACTGCCTACTCTGTTGACAGTATTAGAACCCATGAACCCATGGCTACATTGTGGGCATCTGTTCGGTGCAAATGCCGCAGAAGGGACTGCATATAATTCACATTAAAAACGTGAAAACCGCACATGATTTGGAATGCATGTGGTTCGAGAAACCTCCTGATTTCCTTCTCGAGATGCGTTGCTTCAGTCGTGCTGTTTGATTAGGACATCTCTCGCACCAGGTGGAACAAGAGGGGGTCAGGTGGGCCCGAAACACAAATTCTCGAATTTTCATAAGCGATGCCTATGACGTAGTTAGACATTCCTACTATGTCATTATCCAACAATATCTAAATAAACTTTTGCTAAGGAAGTCTCAGATATAAACGAACCTATTAGCATTTTAAACCAACTGATATAAAACAAAAGGGAAAATTTTAAAAGAATCCCCCCTTGCATATATTACACTTTAAAAAACAAATTGGGGGAGTACAAAAAATTTCGTGCACTAAATTTAAGAACCAAGAACTTTCAAATTTACTTGCTACTCAAGTTTTAGCTGGTACATCATCATCATCCTCCTCAATATCCCAGCTTAAATCTTCTTCTTCTTCTTCAGCTGCAGTACTGAGCCGCTTTCGGAGCTCGGCTTTATCAGTAGGACTTCCACTTCCACCACCATGGCTAACTTTTTTATCGTCAATGCTGCTAAGATCCTCAATCTCATCCCACCCAAGGTCTTCTGCCTCTGGCGTTTCATTGCCTTTACCGGATTCAGCAGCCCCATTCTTCTTCCCTTCCACTGCCGCTTTCTCCTCCGATTTCAATGGTAAATCTTTCTTCCCGGAATCCCTTTCTACCTGCATTTTCTTTTTGGACTCCTTTTCGCCACTCAACTCCAAAGCACTACCCTTCTTCTGATCAACAACTTGAGATTCCCCAACAGGGCTGCTCTCTTCCGTAACAATCTTTTGCTCAGAATCTTTGCTGACCAATTCGCTATTCGCGGCTAAATCGCCCTTCTTCAACACCACATTAGTCTCTTCACTAACACTGCTCCCCTCTCCCACATTATTGGAACTCTTCTCTCCAACCTCATTCCCAACCCTCAAGTCCTCAACTCTCCCATCTTTACCAGAACCTTCAGCAGCTACTTCAGTACTTTTCCCCGAATTCTCTTTCGACACCACATTGCTCACATTGTCATCATACTCATCATCATCAACATCCCAACTTAACTCCTCATCCTCCTCAACAGAAATCGCCCGCTTAACGAGATTCACTCTCACTTCCTCAGCCTGCCTCAGCTTATGAACCCTATAAAAGTAACTACACCAAAAGCTTTCGTGATCAACGCTATTCGAAACAACCCTTTTGTAAATCCCCTCCATAGCTCCGTTTTCTTTGAAAAGCCTCTCAATTTCTTCACCTTTCTCCTCCAAATCAAACCCAGATTTCCATTTTTCGTAATCATTCAAATCCTCAGGCTCCTCGCAGTAAGTGCTAGGGTCACCCTGAATCGCACGCACCTGAGCGTCAAACCTACTGTACCGTTTCGAATTCAAGCCCTGCTGAGAGCTAAAGCTTTGATCTTTGGCGTCGGAGGAATCCGCTTCGTCGTCGGCAAGGATCGCGTCCTTGCCCTGAGCGATGATCTCGGCCGTCCCTTTCAGCACTGTGTTCCCGAACTTGTCGATGACGTGCCCCACCGTCTCCAACGACCCCTGAGCCACCTCGATCTCTTTCTTCAGACCCGACCCGAATTCCTGCAGGTCGCGGCGGTAGGTCTCAATCACCGACTCGGATTTGGTCGCTAGGGTTTTGATCAGATCGCCGAAATTCCATCCGCCGGTGTTGCCGGTACGGTTGGGATTGGGTTGGGTCGTTGGGGATTCGGATTCGGGGTAGGGGGGATCTGGGTCGTCGGAGAATACGGATTTGAAGAAATTCATGGAGGAAAATTTGGGAAAGCAGAGGGATTGGGAATTACCAGAAAATTGGGGAGAGAGAGAGAGAGAGAGAGAGAGAGATAGATGGGAATTTAGGAATGTTAACGTGCGCTTGAAGTGTAGAGCGCACATCAGCGTGTTGGCTCAAGTGTGGGCTTTAACTACGCAGATGGGCCCAACATAAAGAATGGACTGGAGGCCCAATTATTTGAATGGACTGTGTGCCCAATTCTTTGTGATAGACCCAACATTGAGCAAGACCCACCTATCAAGCAGGGACGACGGTAGAGCGTAGTGATATTATCGAAAGCTGTGACTTAGCCTAAGCTTCTCACCTCTGAGTATAAATATATCTTTGTTTCAAAAATATTAAAAATAAAAAATAATGTTGTTAAGTTATTGGATGAATAACATGTTAATTGTCCCAAGAACTCGAATCGACACGAAGGTCTGACACCTTCATGTCGGATCTTCCCCATATGGGGTTGTACCGTAAGTTCCATGAGTTGGGTTGTTAGGCTATTAAAGTAGCATCGTCTAGCACAATGAAAAGTCTATCAGGAGACCCCTCCAAGATATTTGTGGATTTGTGGATATATCTGTAATTTTCATCGCATACAGTTTATACTTGTCGAAATAAAATGGCACATACTAAAAACGAGTCTGTATTTAACTGACTAATATATACGTATGATGTACAAATCGTAGCAAAAAATGCTAGAAAGACTACATTTTATAGACCACATTTAAATCATCGCTCTAATAGAGATGAGACACCAAATTTTATATGTAGGAGCATTACCCTAATCACAATTTCTAAGATTTGTTAAAAAGTCGTGCAGTGCAGGAGAAGCTTAATCGTAAGCAGCCTATCGGCTTTTGCCACAAGTTCTTCATGAGAAATTTTTAATTGTGATGGGAACACGGATGGTACATCACATGTTTTTATATAAATGGTAGAAATTTTTAATTTTTAAGTTATCAACATTTTAACACACATATCCCACCATTTATATAGGGACACATGGTGTACCATCTCGTATGACGGTCACATTGAAAAATCTCTCATTCTTCACCTTCATTGTGAATAGCCTCGTTGCTAGACGCCATGTTAAGCAAGTAACGTTAGGTCATCCGATGCCTCAAGACGAACAGCCTATGGTTCCAGCTGCTAACCCTAATGGGGTTGAGACAATGTACCTTCACGAGGCTCGCCAAACGCCGGAGAAGGATTCAGGTATTCAGATTCAAGTTCACTCCAAGCAAACCGATGACGACGCAGATTGACAAGGTAGGTGAACCTGTGGAGGGCGATGTTTCCGGACACAAAGCAACCTAAAGAAGGTTTGGAACATTGAGGATGTACCAAAACTAGATAAAGAGAAAAATGAGAAGAAGAAAGGAAAAGGGTGCAATGAGTAGTGAAAAGTTGACACTAGCAATGGAGATAGAAGACGAAGATAAATGTGTTGAAAATAAGTTATACATTGATGGGATGAGAGACCTTGTATGTGCTTATAAGTAAGTTGGGCTACTCTTCATATTGTCAATTGGTTTTATGATAGAACCTCAACTTTCTTCAAAATGATCAAAGATTGCTTTAAGGCGCGTAATACCACTTTTTCACATTGCTCCAAACATAAACGAAAAATCAAAAGCGTTTATTCATAGTAGAAATGAAGCTATGAGGAGGAACAATGGCATTTAGTCGAGTAAGTCTTAGCCCTAGCTATATGTCATATATGGCGGTTGGCATGGTGTCTCGTCGGGCTGCAGTTCACACTGGGGTTGCAAGTTTCAATTACTGAGATTATTGGGTAGTCGCAGGAGCTTCCGAAAGGTGAAATAGCTATGCTCAAATGAGTCAAATCAATGTAACATGAGAATTTGCAGTCGGATCCAAGGGGTGAACTAAAAATTGTCAAATTTGTTGTTCACTCAAATTACAACATTTGAATTTAGAACATTATGTGATTACGTCACTGTTATACTGAAAGTTTTTAAATTTCTCGATAAGAAGGCATTAGCTAAATTTGTTTAGTGTGACCATTTGATCCCCGAAACGAATTCATATCAACATTCAACATTGAAACCATGAGGAAAAAGAATCATATATAACAAAATAACAAAAATAAAAAATTGAAATGGTGGAGGATATATGAGGGAAAGTGTTATTCAAATACCTATTTTTACTTCTGACACACTTTTGTTAATTTTTTATCATTGATCTTTTTCAATTTGTTTGATCTAATGGCCAAAAATTAAGAGGGGTGTGTAAGAAATAAAAAAGATATGTGGATAGCAATATATACCCTATCCAAGACTGGATATTTCTAATTGAATTACCACATGACTCCCATCAAAATTTGGGAATTGGGAGCCTTGTTTGGTGGTAGAAGAAGGTACAAGAAGGTACAAGAAAAATTGTACCAAAAATGAAATAAGGAAAACAAAAATGTACCAGCATATTGTTAGGCTAAATAAACTTAATTATACACTAAACTGGATATGGAGACATAATTCCATATTTAAACAAATAACGTTGAGGGCCGCCATAAAACTCCGGTAAGAGGATCTTCCGGTGGTCGAAAGCTATGCCGATAACATTTTCATCGGAAGAAGAAAAAATAACTCAAACACTGTGAAGTCTTCTTCCTCTTCCATGTGTTTCCTCCAAGTAAATATATGCCCTCCTTGCAATTAACCAGCCTTAGCCCAATCAATTTACTCACTAAAGTTTTACTTTTGTTTCTATACTTTTTCTTGCTTTTTTTTTCTTGGTCCCAGTGACCATTTTCTCACCTTCTTGCTCTTCTAGTTAATCAAACTCCCTATCCCCCCTGACCCAATTTTTTTACTCCAAAACTATTTTTCACCTTCTTGCCCTTCCCACACCGTTGATCTCATCATCTCTCGTTCTTCAAAATAATGAGTTGATGAACGGTAGAGATCATAAGGGGCCCACAGATGATCAACGGTGCAGGGCCTTCTTGAATCTAACCTCAACCAGGGCTTGCCCTTCCCACTCCAATGCAGCAAGCTTATAGGGCCAGGATGCAAACTCCTACACTTGCCTTCGAGATTATCCCCACCAAGTCCATGCTGGTTCCACCTGTGATGAACGGCCGTGATGTCCCCAGCCAAAACCAACAAAAACGGCGGCAAAGACCCCAAATGGTAAATTCGCTTCTGCTTCTGCACTAGCATCCACTCCTCCATTTTCTTAGTGTACCCACCTTGTCTCCATTTATCCACGTCCACCACCATCACCCCTGTGTTGAAATAGCAAGGATTTCTGCCCTCAAACGTTTTGGACATTTCGTTGTCGGACCAGAACGATTCTGTGAAATATTGGGTGAAGTTTGCATGGCAATATTCTGGCGCTGCCAATACCTTGCCTTGCAAGTCAACCTTCCATAACTTTGCCACGTCATCCACAACCACAAGGTCCGAGTCTAGGTATAGAACCCTATTCACATCAACTGGGATTATGTCGGCTAGGTAAATACGTGCATAGTTTAAGGGTTGGTCCAAGGCTTGACGTATCGACTTTGATATTTTCCCACGTACCCTCTTCGAATCGAAGCGGTAGACGTTGAATTTGAGGTAGGGGAAGGTGGATTTGATGTTGGAGAGCACCTCGGGCTCGAACCGTGCCCAGAGAAAGTGAAACTCGACAATCTCTGGGCACGTCGAGTGTTGCAGGATTGAAAGCACAGCCGACATGGTGCCTCTTAGGTAATTGGAGTCAAGTGTCATAGCGATGTGAATTTTCTTTGCATGCTCGCAAACATCCCCGTTTCGAAAAGCTGGAGCTTCTTGAAAGATGGCAACATCTGGAGAAATTTTCCGAATGATGCCAAGGCGGATGCCTGTGGTGGCGGCACCATGGGTGAGGCAGTGGAGGAAGATGAGGAGGAGGAGAGACAGGAGGCCATGAGATGTCGATGAGGTGGCCATCCTGCCCTTAATCGTAGAAGAAGGTGGTGGAGGCCCTGGAGGGGGTCAAGGAAGAAGAGGAGGACGAGGGAGAGTGGTAGCCATAGCTAGGCTGGTTGAGAGACGGTTTAGGGGAGAGGTTAGAGATTAATGATTGAAAACAAAAATTTAGGGGGAGGAGGGAGGTTGGTGGGATTGTGAGGAAGAGAATATTACTCGGAGGAAGAGAAGGGGATTTTTATGTGTAAAAAGGGAAGGTTATTAGTTATGGTACGTAAGACCCCATGTCCCAAAATCAAGCATATATTACACACAAGTGAATAATAAGAAACCTATTTATAATAAACTAAATTTTAATTTCTAAATAAAACTTAATTCTAATGAGTTAGGTCCAAATTCTAAAATTATAGAAAAACTCAAGCAGTAAAAAATAAACTTGAAAAACTATTATTTTCCAACAACTGAGAACCTCAACATCGGATTCATGAAAATCAAACTCAAAACAAGCATACTTCACTTACCCGTCCCTTGGGTTTTTTTTAGGGAGTTTTAACAAAATACTTCCGGTACTATTCATTTTTGACAAAAAATCACATTTTTACCTTTAACTGGCACTATTCACTATACCTTGAAAAATGGCTTTTCGTTAAAAGAAATTTTTTTTTAGACTTTTCGTTAGTTTTTTTTTTTTTTATAATATATTCCCAATTTATGTAAGTAAATATGTCAGAAACGAGGCCATCTAATGTGGGCTTATTTTCATTATTATTTAACTGGGCCTTAAAACGTGAGGCCCATTCATTGCCTCCAAATCCATGCAACGATCTGGGAACTCAGGCTAGGGTTCAGGGTTTTTCTCCTCTCTCTCTCTCTCTCTCTCTCTTCCACAGCGAGAAAGATGAAAGATTTACAGCTTTCGCTGAACCAAACCCAGAAGGTTCGGCTACAGAGAGCTCTCGAAAGGCTCGAGTCTTTGTCTTCAAAGGCCAATTCCAACGCCTCCGTCACCGTCGCGGACTCCATCCCCGTTAACTACGAAGACGGCCTTCTCAAGTACCCCTCTCTCTCTCTCTCTAGAATGCTCTGATTTGGTGATTTTTTACTTGGGTTTTCTACAAAATTTTATTTTATCTGCAAAATAATTTCTGGGTATCTCGGATTTCTTGTGCATTCAGGGGACATGGGACCTCTGAGGTCAATGGGGAAGTTGTTGCGACGGTTTGCGGCGTCGTCGAGAGAGTCAATAAGCTGGTTTATGTGCGTTCTTTAAGGGCCAGGTATTTTTTTTTTTTAAACAAACGATATTATTTACAATAAGGAAGGAAATGATGGGCTAAGCCTTATAATGAGTTGGCAATAATTTGATTCAAATTCGCTTTTGGCGATAATCGAACTTAAGATATCTGACTTACAAGTGAAAGTGAAGAGAAATACTACTAGACCGTAGTACTAGTAATTAAGTGTTTAATTATTTGGTTTTCTAAGAATTTGGAAGTTTTAGTTTTTTTGTTAATTTTTTTATCATTGGCGCTTAATGAAATTTTCTTAACACGCAATTTGGTAGGTACAAACCAGAGGTTGGAGATATCATAGTGGGGCGTGTAATTGAGGTAAAAAAAAGGAATGCTGAACTACCTTTCGATTAATTTTATCGAAAGTTTGATTATTGATGACTGATGATTCGCTTTATGTTTGTTTTTTGAGTCTTTTTTTGTAATCTGAAGATTAATAATTGTGCAGGTTGCTCCGAAACGTTGGAGAGTGGAGATAAACTATAGCCATGATGCAGTGTTGATGCTTTCTTCAATGAACTTACCCGACGGCATCCAGGTATGGCTGTTAGCCCAAGTTGGCAGCATGCATCAGTAGCGATAAGTTTCTTTTACCAGCTAACCATGAGATGGGACAATTGAATGCTAACTAGTTCGTTGTTCAGTACATTGTCCACGGTTTACTGTTTTGTAACTTTGTTAGTGCCAAAGATAACCATGGGATGGGACAAAGGAATGCCATTTTTACAGTTGAACATATTTGACACGAATCATGGAATTCTGTTCTATGAATTCATACGGCTGTATTTGAATCTGTTAGATGATGTAGATTCTCTTAGTTTGAACTTTTGTTTGTCAATCTGAACGGTACAGTACCCTTTGATTCGTTATGTATTCTATTGGGTCTTAATTTAGATAATTTGAACTCCTTTTCAATAGAAGTAGCTTATTTCTACCATTCGCTCTTGAAATGGAAACATGTTCGGATTCAATTTGGATTTTCCAGTAGTGTAAATTAGGGTTACAATCCCTCATTTAAGTTTCACTCTTTCAATTGCTAGAGGCGCCGAACTGCTCTGGATGAACTCAACATGCGCAGCATTTTTGAAGAGAATGATGTCATTTGTGTAAGTCATGTAACATGAATTACTTGCCTAATCGAATATAAAAAAAGGAGCAAATTAAGAATTGATCCATTGTTACAAATACTTTCCCTTTTCCAGGCCGAAGTTCGTGGTTTTCAACATGATGGTTTACATCTCCAAGCAAGAAGTCAGAAGTATGGAAAGGTTCGTCTTCTACATAATTTCTCAACTTTCAAAAGGATTTCTGATCATTTTGTTTGGTTGTTTTCAGTATTCGCTTCATCGTTGTTGCTTTCCTTTCAATTCTAACTTGCATTGCCTTTCTTGCGTCCATGGTCTTGTGATTATGTATTATTTGTTAGGATTTCTACCAATGACTGTAACCTGCTTCGCAGCTTGGAAGGGGTCAGTTGCTCACAGTTCCTTCTTATCTAGTGAAACGACGAAAGCAGCACTTCCATCATTTAGAAAACTACGGCATTGACCTGATACTAGGCTGTAATGGTTTCGTCTGGGTTGGTAAACACGTTGAAGTTACCGATGATATGGTGGCGGATCCGAAGTCAGGACAAGATGGTTTCAAAGCCGATAAAAATTCCTTTAGTGCCGAAGATCAGGAGAAAAACTACACTCTCCAACAGACAAGAGAGAACATATGCAGGACCGCAAATGCTGTCCGCGTATTGTGTGCTTTAGGCTTCAATATTACAGTAGAAGTGATCATGGAGACGGTTGATTTGAGCAGTTGTATAAATGTTGCTATACATGAAATGTTTGGTGCAGAGTTTTGTGTTCTGGTTGCAGAGAAGGAGGCTGTACGCCGAAGCATGACTAAAAAGAAGTGACGATTTGTTGTCTAACGAATGTAATCTGTATCGTTTGAAATCTCAACGTGTGTATCACAATTTTCATCAGTCTTTCATCCCAATTCCTCGCAGTTTTGCAAATTGCGAAATTCCGCTTACAAAACATATACGTACATTGAAATCAAAACTCTGTTCTCAATGTCTTTTTCGAACGATAATGAGACTAGATGATTTACAACGGTTGTTCGCGATGTTTCTAAGATATCATAGCTCATCCTTTGGTGGTGGTTCGACATCGAGGCATTCTTCATCCCAATAGTAGGGGTACCTTAACTTTGCTGCAGTGTGTGGCATGAACCAGTCCTGATACATGAACCTGAAACCAAGGGTAGAACTTAGAACAAATAACCCAGCATGAGAACGCGAAAGAACGCATCTGCATATCACGGCGCTCTATCTGTCCTGGGACTGAAGTTGAAGAAGCAATAGATGATATTAAACACAGAAGATGAAAGAAGGTAGTTTGCATACACTTTAACCGGCGGACGAGAGACGGTGACAAGTGCTTGCAAATCGTCATGTTCATTTGTATTCCGGACCTGCAAAGCAGTGTGTAAGTTGTGAATTGCATAGCGGAGAAAAATAAAACATATCAAGCGTAGAATGCTTAGGTTTACCTGGTGAACATCGTTAACAGGTATGTGAAATGTGCTATTTGCAAAGATAGAGAACTCCTGTGGCTTTCCAGGGAACTTCCCGTGCAAGCTCGGTGCAAGGTAGAGAGTTCCACTTCCCTTTAGGACAACAAAAACTTCTTCACAAGAATGCCTGTGTATTGGTGTGCCTGATCCTGGAGCAAATGTTTGTAGCCAAACCTCGACCTGTGAACCCAATAAATTGCATCACATATCATGTCCCCCAAACGATTTCGCAAATTTATAACTTGTTTATCGCAAAATAAGATGTACAATGTCCAAGGCAGAAGAAAGAACGACAAGCTCAAAAACATCGGTGGTTTAGATGATCGCGAGTATACTTCTTAAAGTATCATCAACACGAACAAGTATATTATCGGACAACTTTCAGTTAAGTATTTTTGAAGATCGTAGTGCAAATCAAATGGTATTGTCCTCTAGGCCACCAAGATCACAAGAACAGTAAATTCTCAAAAACAACGGTGTAACGGTGCACCCAATACCTCTTTCAACCCATGCAAGAGCGAACCAGCAACAGTTGTGTGTGCCAAACCACCCCTTCCATAGTTATCCTGTGGAAGCTCACTGATATTTCTTACCATAGGTAACCCTGCATCGAATATATACCATTTCGGCAAAATAATAGTTAATTAATTGGGAACTTTAACGAAAAGATCACGGTAATGTTCACTTTAACAAACAACCACATTTTTACACTAAAAAGTCAATCTTGGTACTATTCACTTTACCTTTTATTTTGTCTTTATCGTTAAAACTCAAAGTTTTCAAGCTAATTTCATTAGTTTTTTTTAATTAAGCAAACTTTAATGAAAAGCTTAATTCATATCATTATTAAGCATATAAACCACAATCCGAAGGATATAAGAAAGTCGAAGATTTCACCATTTGGGCAAGCTAATTCTTCCCAAGAAACAACTAAAATATCAAGTTCAAGCGGAGAAGATAACAGAATCAAAGACCATTCGAAACACTAATCGTGAATCAAATGTTCATTAACCATAAAAATATACACTAGCAATGAAACAGTTAATTAGCTTAATCTATATCATTAATAAGCATGTTAGCCCACAACCCGAAGGTATAAGAAAGTGGCAGACTTCCCCATATGGGCAAGCTCAAAATTCCCAGAAAAATACAGAATCAAACACCATCAGAGACATTAATCATGAATCAAACGCTGATTAACTATAAACCCATGATTAAGAAAACAACTGTCAATTCTTACCCAAAAAAAAAAGGAAAACAACTGTCAACACTCTTTGATAAAAAAAATGGAGATTTGAAGCACGAATTGTGTGAATTCATGAAAGATCAAGAAGGGACTTTTACCTTTGAGTGAGCATTTGGAAGCTTCAGATGTTGCAGAGAAGAACAGCAAGCTGAAGAAGAAAAAGATAGTAAGAGAAGAAGGCCCTACCATTTTCTCGCTCCTTCCACAACTACTTTCTCTGCATCTTTTTCATGAGGTGTGCCAAGTAATTTTATTTTCTAATTATTTGATGGGGGTGTTTTAGTCATAGCATTCTGTTGGGTTTCCGCAGGCCCAAAAGCACTTTCAGGACCAAAAACACGTTCAGGCCCAAAAGCACTTTTATGGGATAAGGCGCACAAGACCAGTTCTCTTGCCAAAGGTTTACGAGGAGGAGACGAGTGTTTACCCAGCTGCTGCTCTACTGAGCTGACTACCATTGTTGAGTCGGTCTCTCTCAGCTGCTCTCTGGATAAGCAGCTTACCCAATTCTCAGCCACAGCCAGCCAACTCCACGAACAGGTCAGCTTCTTCTTCTTCTTCTTCTTCCTTCTCTGAAACTTTGTTCAAGTTAACGAGCATTTCGCTGACGAAAATGGAGATTAAATGAGAAATGGATAATTGGGTTTTCCCAAAAGTTTGTGTCTTGGGTGGCTTTTTACTGTCTGCTTCTGAAAGAAGCTGAACATTCTGCTGTCCGGCTTTTGCTACTGAAAAAAGCTAAATTCTTCGTATTATGTATTTTTGGATGTAAATGGTAGAACCCAAATTTTTTTTTATGCCTACGGTATGAAAATTGTATTCCTTTTTATGTATTTTTGTAGAAATTTGTCTCACAAATGAAAATTAAGCCTCTTTTGGTTGCTGAATTTCATTAGAATTTGTGAGTCCGTTATTCGAAAGGTAAGAAAATAACAAGATTATCATGTTGTATTTGTAGATTCTTTGATGAACAAGATTATCATGCTGTTCTCTGCTGTGTGCTATTTTGTATTTGAGTTGTGCCTTTCGTTTTTCGCAGGCGTGTTGGTAGTTTTAAATCTGGAAGTATGAAGGTTAGATGCTATGCTGGTATTACGAAACCCAGCTTTTTGCTTGTGCATTCAGAGTTACCGGTATTTACATCTCTTAAGCCCGAATTCGATTCTATATCCACGCTTTGCAACCGAGAGAAGTTGATTCGGTTGATAACAAGGTGTCAGTATTCTGTTTCTGGTAGAAGGTCAGAAAGCAGTTATAAGGATTCGTCGGTTTCAAATCCAAACACCACTCGTTTAGGTAGGAGAGAAAGAGGTTCTTCATCCTTATATAGTCGTCCTAGTCTGTTAGATATGAAGAATGAAAGGATGGAAAATCGTGCCCGGGTTTATGATTTCTTGCGAGGAATTGGTATTGTCCCTGATGAGCTTGATGGATTGGAGCTTCCTGTTACAGTCGAAGTTATGAGGGAACGTGTGGATTTTCTTCACAATCTGGGGCTTACAATCGAAGACATTAACAACTATCCACTTGTTCTAGGCTGCAGTGTGAAGAAAAACATGATTCCTGTGCTCGATTATCTTGGGAAGTTGGGTGTTAGGAAATCCACATTCACAGAGTTCTTGAGAAGATATCCACAAGTCCTGCATGCTAGTGTTGTTATTGATCTTTCACCAGTGATCAAGTATCTTCAAGGAATGGATATCAAACCCGATGACATTCCTCGGGTTCTTGAGAAATATCCAGAAGTGCTGGGATTCAAGCTTGAGGGGACCATGAGCACTTCAGTGGCTTACTTAGTTGGAATTGGGGTTGCAAGAAGGGAGATTGGCGGAGTTTTAACTAGATACCCGGAGATTTTAGGGATGCGTGTTGGTAAGGTGATCAAGCCATTTGTTGAGTATCTTGAAAAGTTGGGTATTCCAAGACTAGGTGTGGCTAGGCTGATAGAAAAGCGGCCTCACATCCTTGGGTTTGGATTAGAGGAGAGGGTGAAACCGAATATTCAATCCCTTTTGGAGTTTTGCGTTCGAGAAGAATCACTTGCTTCTGTAGTGGCACAATATCCTGAGATCATAGGAATTGATCTCAAGCCTAAGCTTCTCAGTCAACAAAGTTCACTCAAGTCGGTAATTGATTTGGATCCCGAGGACTTTGGCAGAGTTGTTGAGAAGATGCCTCAGGTTGTTAGCCTCAGTGATAGACCTATGATGAAGCATGTCGATTTCCTTAAGAATTGTGGATTTTCCTTGGAGCAAGTGAGGAAGATGGTCGTTGGGTGTCCCCAGTTGCTTGCCTTGAATCTCGACATCATGAAACTTAGCTTTGATTTCTTTCAAACAGAGATGCAAAGGCCTTTGGATGACTTGGTTGCTTTCCCAGCATTCTTTACTTATGGTCTGGATTCGACCATAAAACCAAGACATAAGATGGTTTCAAAGAAAGGGTTGAAATGCTCCCTCGGATGGCTTCTCAACTGCTCCGATGAAAAGTTTGCGCAACGAATGGACTACGACACTATTGACATGGAGGAGATGGAATCATTACCGTCATTTGATATGAATACGCTCACAGAACCAAGGAGCGACAATTCAGGTTCTGACTACGATGATGATAGCGATGACGATTATGTATAGAAATAGAATGATCACTCAACCTTCAATTTGGCTTTTCAAATTGGGGTTTCCAGTAGAGTTTTGTGGATGTTATATTGTGAAAGTAAATTTATTTATTTGAAGTATTACACACTTTTTCTTTTTTGGCAAGTACTTGTGATGTTAGGCCTTCGCCCATGAGCGGTAGGTCTCGGGTTCGAGACTTGGGAGCAGCCTCTCCATAAATGGGGGTAAGGCTAGCCGACATTCACCTCTCCCAGACCCTGCGTAAAGCGGGAGCCTTGTGTACTGGGTACGACTTGTGATGTTAGGCCTCGTTTGCCAGCCTGTATAAGGGATCGGATGGGATAGTTAATATGGGTGTTTGGTGCAATTCAATACTAAATACTACCCGTATTACTTATACTGGGCCCACACATTTGCATGTGCTAATGTAGCAAGAATGTAAAGGAATAGGAAGATGCTAGAAACCAAGTCCGAATTTGCTCACTACCCTTCTTAAAGAGTGCCGTGTGTTCAGAGTATTGTTTCACGAGTATTTTGTTAGTTTGATGATGGATTTTTCTTCGTTGATGGGGTAAATTTTTGAGTTTTTCTACTCAAACACCAAATTCGTCTTGAGTTTGATCGTGAACTTAAGCAGAGCACATTTCTGGTGAGGACAAGGGAGCAAATTGATGCGGTAACTTTCCGAGATTCCAATAGAAGTACGAATGACATTGTTATGTTGTTGCAAGAACAACAGCGAAACGATTCAGTATTTCTATGTACAAAACTACAAATTTATCATTTCATAACTTTTGTTCAACTATATTTTCTCTTGTCAATATCCATCCCATATGAATAAGATCGCCGAAACATGAACGAATGCGTCCATTACCGCGACATTTCCCCGAAGTCTGACGGTGGCTTTGGCATCTGCAGGCTGCAAGTGAGGCAAGCACCATTTTTTTCATGTAAATGTACAAGCTCTCTTCATACTTTCGAGCCATCAGCATCGAGAAACCTCGTATAATCGTGTGCCTATCGATTCATCTGAAAAAGCAAGCTACTTGGATTCCTAGTCTTTTGTTTGCAGCCAACCAAGCTGTAGGAACAGAATGTATGTTACTAACTATATCAGCAGAGAAATATCACAAATTATACAAAGGAATGCCTAAAGTAAACATCTGAATCTCTGATCACGTACCTTCCACGCATACATGGCGAAAAAGGCTACGGTATCAGCAGACCAAACGACAGCAAAGGACTTAATAAAGAATGGGATTGTAACATTGAGTAACGGGACGAGGAGGAAGAGATAGTTTAGAGCTTCCTTCTCATTTTTCGAGCAGTCTCGTGCGCGCAGTGAAGGAATTGCTGCAAAATTAGAAGGTTAAATTATTTGTTCAATCAGTATATCTTTACCACATAGGAAACTTTGCAGGTAAATTTATAGGGGGGATAACTTACTAAACATCCAAATGGACCACATTCCCATTAATCTCCATATGTCTGGTTCATTTGACGGAAAGATGAGATTGAAGGACAGAACTCCGCCTAGCAGCATGGAGGCGTACGCTTGAACCTCGAAGACAGTGTACAAAGTGCTGCCTGGCACGGCAGGGTTTTTGGAAGCTGTGGAAGCCCTTGGTGCAAAGGTTGCAGCAGTCTTCTGAACAACCTGTTTGTTACAAGAAATGGAAGTATAACGTTGTGAGAAATCGAACAGACTAGTATTCTATCTGCAAAACAAAAAGGAATGCAGGTCAGTAAACTACGTTCGAAAATAATAGCCGAAATCAGACTATTCTCCAATGTACATTACTTGTTAGCTTCTTCTACTAGCTCAGTTCTTTGTTCATGTTTCTGGTAATCAGGTCGAAGTTTCAATGCCGATTTTTGGCTTAAATTGCATCCAATTCATTCGTGTAACAAGCAAAATTCTTGTATTTGCAGTGCTGCAGAAAACTATGAGGTTCTTTTGAGGAGAGCTTTTTAATCTTTGCTCACAGCTCCATAGATCTAACCGTGTCGAATTTGATGATTGTTCAGAGGACTGGAACTGGTTGTTAATCACAAGTCTACTCCACAACTCAATTCGATCACCCGAATCCAACTCAACTCGATTCATAATCCCACATTAGGCTCACTAAAACACACATTAAACTAACTCTAAATCATATCTTGCAAATTGCCACTGACTCAACTCTATAAGTTGTGGCGTTTTATGCAAAAGGCTTCGATGCTTGACACGCCCCAACCCCGATATCTCCAAATACCAGGATAGGCACGTGCCATCCAAGTGTCATTTGGATATCTGGACTGGGGCGTGTCAATGCTACTAGTAGCGGACACTCATTCTAATGCCATGCCACATTAGAACGTGAGCATGGAAATTTTTTCTCGATGCGGGATTCACACTCTCAACAGCCCGCTTAAGGTAATATTTCCGTTTTCACTACCCAATTTTGCAATTCACGAGAAAATTTACAAACAAAGTCTTATGAACAAATTGCAATTCAGGACACCCATTTGAACAAAAAGCTTTAAAATCCGACCTTTTTGAGGTCCTTGTCGAGTGGAGAAGCAGCAGCAGCAGGGAAAGTGGAGGATTTTCCGGCTTCGCGTGGCTCGGCTTTTTCCACCTCTTCCTTTGGTTCCTCCACTGCTGCCTGAGCATTCAGCTCATTGGCATTGGCATAAAGTCTGAAGAAGATTTTGGCGGGAAGTGGAGAATTGCAGGGTGAAACGTGTCTCTGGTTCGAAACGGTGGAAGGATACCTTGAAACTTGGAGGTTGCAGAGAGACGTTGAAGTTAAGGTGTTCATGTTTGAACACTTTCTCTCTCTGCTGATAAGATTTTTATTGAAAATTCAACAACAAAAAGGTGCGAGGAAAAACAGAGGGAGATAAGAAATTTGAGGCGGGGAAGAAAGAGATGTTGGACAGCATTTGGGCCTCACTAAATGGAGAGTTCTGGCCCATATTATTGATTGGTTTGGGCCTTACATTACGTATCATTGAACAATTGGGTGACATATATGGCACATATATACCGTTCGTCAGTGTGACGTTCTTTGTTAATGACACAATGTCATATAGAGTGAAACTTACATATAGGGTGACACGCCGCGATCTCAATATTCCCAAAATACCAGGATAGGCACGTGTTGGCCGACACCCGAGGGTGACGAAAGCCATTTCTTGAGTGCAAATGCTGAGAATAAAGGATGGATATGACTTATAAATATAAAAGAATCAAGAATATGCAGTTAGGTACCGTTTGGTACGTGGGACGGAACGGGACGAGCCGTTCTGTCCCACGTTTGGTGCGCCTAAAAACTGTGGAACGGGTTGTCCTATAGGACGAAATTTGGCTGATTTTTCGTTCCACCTCTTCCCCCTGGAACGACCCGTTCCACATCTGTGGAACACAAATTTATAACATTTTATGACAAAATTTCTCCTTATCTTTTTCAATATTTACATCATCCGTTTCGTCTCGTCTCGTCCTGTCCTGTTCCGTCCCATCTGCGTACCAAATGGTACCTTAAGGAACGTGTTCAGAGCATACGACTAACTAGAACACCGAAAGAAATAATATAAAATTGAAAGAAACAAAGGATGGATCCTACACCGAGAGAACTTGAAGATATCGATGCGGAAATGCCTGGATGTCGGAATGGTATACCTCGATTCTAAGCGCAAAACAAACATGAGTGGACCAATTTGATATATAAATAGTAAAACAATTATCAACGTACTAACCCCCAGGTTTTATGAAAACACATATATATCATGATAAACATAGGTTTTTCGAAACCTGACATGCCGTGCAATGTCTCAAATCATAACTTGTATATATAATAATCACTAGTGAATTGTCCAATAACCCCCATGCCATATGCCGACTCCTCGTCTCTAAGCAGACAGTCAGAGGAAAATACACTTCAGGCCCCATGCCGACTCTCTGTCCCTGTGCTAAATAGACAGAGGAAACACACTTCAGGCCATATGCCAACACCAAACCGTCACCCGAAACGGACCGGAATCTATCCCTACGTCCCGTAACGGAAAGGACCACTAGGTAAGTACAAAACCATTGAACATATATATATTGAAAAACAACTTCATAGTATAAAGTCATCCATTATCTATACTATAAAGAAGTGTTCTAATCATGTTCTAAATATCATATCGTCATTCATCGGATATTTTATAAGAACACGGGTTATAGGAAAAATAATAATAATTCAAACTAGCCTCAGTAAGTATGTTATCTCAAAGCATTTCATAGAACATAATCATCAAATCATGCTTTTCATGTATGCATTTATACTATTAAAACATGCATTCTAGAAGGGGTCCACTCACAGTACTTCACAATCGAAAAGTCACGCAGCTAGCGAAGACAGAAACGCCACTATAATTGCCCTAAGCACATAAAGAGTCCAATAAATAAAATTATATAATAGCAATTGTATTTGGGAAAACGAACATTGGAAATGGATTCAGAACGTCGAATTACCCTAAGAATGGTCTTGTTTAAACTTCGTAAAAGTCGATAGAATATTCCCTAACGGAATATTTCCCATAAAAGGTTTGGATAGATTAGGGTTAAGGGTTTAGGGTAATGAGGTTTAAAGGGTTGGCTTATGATGCACAGGCCTAAGGCCCTAAAGGAAAATGGCCTAAAGGCCTTTAGGGTTTTTAAAATCAATTTAATAAACAAAAATATTTAAAAAGGTTGGGGTTGGGCTTAGGGCCCCCAACAGCTACAGCCCAAAGGCCTTAAGCCTAAGGGTTTTTGGGTTCTAGAGAGGACGGGCCTATGGCCCTAAATAAAACGGCCCAAAGGCCTTTTTATTAAACCAATTAAAATTAAAACAAAATAAATAAATAAAAGAAAATGGAAAGGGAACTGGGGGAACAAAACAGCACCATTTAAGACCAAAAACCATTTTAAAAGCAAGATAATCTCAAACTTAGTGAAAATACAATTTAAATTAGGGGTGAGTGTAACATAGGGTGGTTATATACATACACGGCGTTTTACATTTCATACACCCCTCTCAATCTTCGACCATCGGATCAAATGAATTGAAGATGATCAAATAACATAAATTAATAAGGAGTGTATGAATAGCATGAAATTGGATCCTCTCTGAGCCCAAGGAGAGGATCCTCTTGACCAAGGAACGTGGGCCGTTGGATTTTCATCCAACGACTATAATTATTATAACTTTAAAAGGACCCTCCATGTTTGTAACCGTTGGATGAAAATCCACTTTTCTTGGTCAGGATGATCCTCTCATTGGGCTCAGGAGAGTATCCAATTCCGAATAGCACCACCTACACATGTCATTGTATTATTAACATGGGAAAAAATGATGACAATGTACATGTGTCATCTAAGTTCTTCTCACACCTCAAAGTGCAAAAAAAACTCATGTGCTCGATAGTCTATCAAGTGGATTGTCTAATTCACTTACAAAGACCAATGCATCGGGTTGTTTAACTACATAAGGTCGGGTGATACTTAAATACAAGAGAATTTTAACAAAAAGTTTCTGGTAATGTTCACTTTAACGAAAAACCACATTTTTACACTAAAAAGTCAATTATGGTACTATTCATTTTACTCTTTATTTTGTCCTTATTGTTAAAATTCAAAATTTTCAAGCCATTTTCATTAATTTTCCTTAAAGGGGCCTATTTCTTCATGGGCAGGTCGATCAAACAATTTATTTTGTCTAACTATTGAACACAAGAATTTCTTAAAGGTACACATTCTTATTAACTTGATCGTAATGCATATCATAACCGAAAATTGTAAACTTTTAAGTCACTGCTTGAAGATTATTTGTGTGAAAAAAAATTGTCAAATTAATTGTTATGTCAATTACAAAATATTCTTCATTTTGCGGAGTAATTTTTCAGTATGCTCGAAACACAGAGCAAAACATTACATGTCATTGTAATGAATGTAGTGTATTTGTACCATACTTAGGGCCTCCATATTTAGATCTCGTATAAATACTCGGGGGACTCAAATGTAATTATGTAATAAAAGAAGGGGCAAATATGTAATAAGTGAGGAGCCCTTATTCTATAAAAGGACTCATCACTCTCCTCATTATGAGAGGCCAATTCCTAAGCCTCCTCATATCCCTTAAGCTCTAAGCTCTTTCAAAGCTCTCACCCTCATATTCAGAGATTTCTCTCCCTCAGAAATACAATATCAATGTGGACGTAGCCTAAACCTTGGGGTGAACCACGTACATCTTGTGTTTGCTTCCTTATCTCTATCATTTACATACTTATCCACATTAGTGACCCGAGCAATCTAGCGAAGGTCACAAACTTAACACTTTCTGTTATACCAAAGTCCTCATTGATTTTGTACATCAACATTTGGCGCCGTTTGTGGGAAACGACACGAAAAATTATGTCGGTTCTCTTTAATTTTTTCACATCCACCGTAAATCTGCAAAATCTGCAAAAACCTAGACACAGTAAAAATCCAAATTTCAACACCTGTGCTCTTCCCTCCCTCTCTATTCTTATAAAAGCAACATCCAAATTACAAAAGCAACATCCAAAAGCTCATGGAAAAACACCTCCACTTCTCCCATAACCTCCACACGTGTCTAAATCCCCGCCACTTCAGTCATGTGATCTTGACACATGCGCCCCAATATTTGTTGTTTGATATTTTTAATTTTTTCCCTCAGCTCGGTGATTTTTGGAATATCCTCGTAAGCTTCAAAATGGCTACATAACTGGTTCACAGCCTCCAATTTTGCAGCTGTCTCTTTATATTGTCGTTTTGAAGCCATTACTTGGAGTTGCTCAACAGCAGAGACGAGCATGGTCAGGCGATGAAGAGCATTTTCGTCTTAATTTTGTAGATTTTATACATGAGTTCCTACTTCCACGGCATGCGTAGCAGCGGCGAGATCTTCTTCCGTCATCCCTGATGACCTCACCAAGGAGTAGTACGTGTACCTGGTGAAGCTCTCCGAGCAAACGGAGCGCTATGAGGAGATGATCCAGTTCATGGAGAAGCTGGTCGTTGGTTCGACTCCAGCCGCCGAGCTAACCATCGAGGAGCGCAACCTTCTCTCTGCGGAGCTTCGCACCGACTGTCCCCTTTCGTCAGAAGCAGAAAGAGAGCAGAAACAAAGAGAGAGAGAAGTGAAAGAAGAAAAAATGGAGAAATCTACCTCTTGCTTCAATATTATCACCTGCGGTAAGGATTCAGCGGACAACGATGATGTTGAAGCTCTTGAGAGTAAGAGTTCGAGTGACAAGCGCGAATGGAGTTTTGGGAAAAGATCTGCACGACATCGAGTGTTGAGCAACACTGTTATCAGAGAGACCCCCACTTATGGACATAAGGAGATCCCAGAATCAGCTGTTTTTAATTTCCAACCACCAGCGAAGCACTATTGTTCCAGAAAAGATATCGGTTATACATTGCACTGATGAGAAACCCTAGTTGGCTGTTTTGAATCACCATGGGGAATGCAATGCAGTTTCTAAATAGCTAAATTGTCAAGCTACCTTTGACTATGTTCAAGTCAGAAGCAAAAGCATTTTTCCAGTCAGATATTGAACGGTTTATATCCGAGAATATCATACTTGCTGATAAAGTGATGGTCAAGCATGCAGTTAGCAAAATCAGGGATGGTGATGTTATTCTAACGTATGGGTCATCCTCTGCAGTTGAAATGTTGCTTTTACAGGCCCAGGAGCTTGGCAAACAGTTTCGTGTTGAGGTTGTGGCGCGGAGCCAGCAAGGATCGATGGCTGCAATTGAGAGCCCGGCCAGGAGGTTCAATGGGTTGCAGTACCATCCAGAAGTGCTCAATCGCGACCCATTCCCT